CCATGGGTAATGGGGGGGACGACCCTGCCCCAAAGCACCATGGGTAACATGTGCCCATCACCCCTGCCCTAGGGCACCTTGGGTAAGGGGGGACCCTGCCTCAGAGCACAATGGGTAACGTGCCCATCACCCCTGCCCCAGAGCGCCATGGGTAATGGATGCCCATCACTCCTGCCCCAGGGCACAATGGGTATTGGAGGGGTGTCTCCTGCCTCAGGGCATGATCGGTAGTGGAAGAATCCCATAGGTAATGGGTGCCCATCACCCATGTCCCAGGGTGCTCCTTCCCCAGTGTGTGGTGGGAAGGAGATGCCTGTCACCACTGCCCCAAAACTGCAGCCAGGACGTGGTGTTGTCACTTATCCCGACTAATGGCACCACAGTAGGGATGTACATGGGGGCCCTGCACCAGGCAGCAGGTGAGGGTTTGCCTCAGCGCTCTCCAGATGCACAATTGGGGTCAGTCCTCAGCTTCCCCATGGTCAGCCTGTCCCCAGGCTTTGCCAGGGTGGCTTTCGCTGGATTTAGAGCACCCCAGAGCATCCAGTCGAGGGCGGCACCAGGAGGGAGTTGTTTTGGAGAGCCTGGGTCCTTTAGGATCATTGGCATTTCCCCCCATTTGCTTCCTCTGGAGCCTTCCACAGTGGTGTTTTGGGGCTATAGGAGGCAAAGTTATTTCTGGATATCACCCAGACTCCAGGATGATGGGTAATAGCTATTCTCTGCCCTGGGGCGTGATGGGTAATAGCTACCCCTCATCCTTGCCCCCAGATATGATGGGTATTAGGCACCCTTGTCCTGGGGAATGATGGGTAATAGCTGCTCATGTGATTGGACCTTGGTGCAGCTGGGTAAAAGGGGCATGCTGGGTAAATTCCACCACCTGTGCTGGGAATAATCTGCCACCCCTTGCCTGTGGAGCATGCTGGGTAATTGCCACCACTTCCTCATGAAGTCACTTGTTTAAATGGCCTCTGGAGTGTTTTGCTGACTTCTCAACTATGGGGCGGAGGTAGAGGAAGGGCCAGAGCCCCACATATTGTACCCTACAACCCACAGTTCCACCAGTGAGCCACGGGCCTTGCATCTCCAGGCGGCCACGTATCTGCACAGCAGTGCCATGTATCCATGCCACGGTGTCCCTGGAGTGATGTAGCCCTGGCTACGGAAGAGCCTGGCCCCTCCCAGTGAAGGACTGAGAAACATAGGCTGGAGATTGGGGTGTGTGGGGCACTCCTGGGTTCCATTCCCAGCTCAAGAAGGGGAGTGGGGTCTAGTGGGTTAGAGCGAGGGGTGGGGCTGGGGGGAGGACTCCTGGGTTCTAGCTCCAGCTGGGGGGGCGGGGGAGTTGGGTCTAGTGGTTAGAGCAGGGAGCCTGGGGATCAGGACTGCTGGGTTTTATCCCCGGCTCTGGGTGGGGAGTGAAGTCTAGTGGTTGGGGAGGGGGCTGGAGGTCAGGATTCCTGGGTTCTATCCCTGGCTCTGGGAGGGGAGTGGGGTCTAATGGGCTAGAACAGATCTTGGTGTTTAGTTGTAAATGGCGGGGGAAGGAGGAACAGAATTCAGCAGAAGGCAAAACTTTGTTGGATCCCATCAACTCCAGCCCCAGATGGGCTGGGCAGCGTTGATCCCTACATCCTATTCCCCAGGCCTTTGTCCAGACAGAGGTAAAAAATTTTCCAGTGCTCAGACTCCACCCTCCTCCCTTGGAGAGAGACTTGCATAGGCTCAAAGATCTGCCCAGACAGCGCTAGGGGATGGGCCCTGACACCCAGTTGGAGAGCTCCCCCACCAATCCCTCCTAGCTCGACATCCCCTAAAGAATCCTCCTCCCTTCAGACGCTGGTAGACAGTTTTTGCAGTGGTGGGGCTGGGAGCTGGGAGGCTGTCACCAACATACAGCCGATTAAATCTTTCCGCTCTGCTGCTGCTTCATGTCTGCGCTGCCTACTGGATTGTGCCAGAGTACTGTACAATGTTGTTGTGAGAGTCCCTCATGATCCCCCGAGGCCCTTCCATTGTGGCTTACATGGGGATTTTATGTTAAAGGACTGAGGGGGTGGGCTGGTGGATAGAGCAGGTGGCCAGGGCATTATGGCCCCCTGGGTTCTACCCCCAGATCTGGGAGGGGGGTGGGGTCCAGTGGGTTCATGAGGGGGCTGGGAGCCAGGGCTCCTGGGTTCTATTCCAGCTCTGGGAGGGGAGTAGGGGGAGTGGTTAAGCAGAGGGGACTGGTAGCTGGAGAACAATAGGGTATTGTCCTGCTGATGTTTTTCCATGTGAATGCATCTCAGACACAGACTGACCTCCTGCAGTCTCCCCTCCCCCTGTGGCATTTAGGGCTCAGACCCCTTTCCCTCAGCAAAGGTTGGGCACAGCACCTCCTTCTATGGGTAGGTCGGACTCCAGCGAGTCCTAACTCCTTTGCTCTCTGGCCTCCTCTGCCCAGGGTGGATCTGCAGCAGCAGCTCATGACCATCATAGACGAGATGGGCAAGGCCTCGGCCAAGGTAAGGCAGGGTTTGGAAACCGAGGGGTTAATGGGAGGTGGGATGGGATCAGACTCTGGGGTGGGGGGAAATAGGGATACCAGGATCAGCCAGATGTGAGCTCTCCCACCCTTGTTTACCCCGCCCCTTGTTTATTCCTCTCCTGTTATTTGAAGATGAAGGCCTCTAGGGGGCGCTGACTCCGACGTGGCCCCAGGGCAGGGTACAGGCTGGCTTAGGGGGCCAGGAGGCACTGGCTCTGATCCAGGGCTGAGCTGTGGTAGTTCTCCTCCCCAGCACAGCTTTGCCCTGTGCCCCAGCTCACCCCAAATCTGTTTCTAGGCCCAGAACCTGCCGGTCCCAATCACCAGCGCTTCACGGATGCAGACAAACCACCACGTTCTCTACATCCTGAAGGACAATGAAGTGAAGACGTGAGTCCCCCTGCGACCCGGGTTTGGTTCCCGAGCCGTCCCTGTGGAGAAGGGCACGTCATTCTGCATCAGACCAGTGGGCCATTCTGGCTTATTAGCTGGCCTCCCCAGATCAGACCTATGGGCCCATCTAGCCTGGTATCCTGCCTCCCCAGATGAGACCATTGGCACAATCTAGCCCAGTGTCCCGCCTCCCTGGATCAGACCAATGGGCCCATCTAGCCTTGCCTTTCTGCATCAGACCCATGGGCCCATTTAGCCCAGTATCCTGATCAGCACAATGAACCCTTTGGTTCTGCCCCTCACAGTAGCCAGTGCTGGGTACTTCTGAGAAAGTTACAAACTTCCCCCAATGCACTCTACTGGGCAGTACTCTCAGATGATGAGAGATTCCTTCTTGACACCCACCCCCTTCCTCAGGTGGGCATCAACCCCTGTCCTGAAGCCTGAGAATTGGATATGTCTACACCAATGTCTGCTCCCCTGCATGCCTCATTCAGCTCTTTGACAGGGTAATGTCCTGCAGCAGTGAGTTTCACAGGTCCTCATTCCCTCCCCCCTCTACATTCACCATACCATAGATATTGGAGGAGTAAATGGGACCCTAGCTCACCTGTCCCTGGCTCCTCTGTCCCTATGCAGCTAGTACCATAGAGACTAGAGGAACTTCATGCACAGACAGGACAATCTCGGCATCCCATCAGTGTGTGTCTCCTCTCTCCCAACTTGGTGCCGTCGCTAATGTCCCCTCTTTTCCTCCCCCATTGCAGAGCGGGGAAAGGGGCCATAATCGGCTTCCTCAAGGTCGGCTACAAGAAGCTCTTCCTGCTGGTGAGTTGCTGTAATGCAGCTCTGAACTAGAGACCCAATAGGGGGCGCTCTCCCCCTCAGTCAGCACTAACCCAATGCCCTAGTGTGACACTAGGGGGCGCCGTGCTGCAGGGAGCGGGGTGGATGGCTCAGTAGGGGGCGCTGTCCCCTTACAGTCCGTGCTGGCCCCAGTGCTGTGCTGTCTAACTGGCCTTTTGTGTTCCATTGTGATCCTTGTTACTTAGATCTATTTCAGTATCAGGGGAAAACCCTCTGTTGGAAAAGGTTCACCCAGCCAGGGCCGGCTTTCGGCCGATTCCCCCGATTCCCCGGAATCAGGCCCCGCGCCAGGGCCCTGCGCTTTAGGCACCTTTTTAATTTTTTTTTTTTTTTCCTCACCTGGCGGCGGCCCACTCCGGGGGTCTTTGGCGGCATTTCGGCAGCGGGGGGGACCGCTCCGGAGGTCTTTGGTGACATTTCGGCAGCGGAGGGTCCTTCGGTGCCACGGAAGACCCGGAGTGGACCCCCGGGCGCCGAAGTGCTGCCGAAGCCCCGGACTGCCGCCGGGTATTCAAATCAGGCCCCGCACTTTGAATTGGGCCCTGCACCCAGCTTTAATCAGGACTCCTGGGTTCTATCCCTGGCTCTGGGAGGGGAGTGGGGTCTGGTGGGTTAGAACCAGGGCGGGGTGGGGGCTCGGAGTCAGGACTCCTGGGTTCTATCCCTGACTCTGGGAGGGGAGTAGGTTCTAATGGGTTAGGGGGTATCCGGGAGCCAGGACTCCTGAGTTCTCTGACCTTTCAGGGCAGGTCACCTATTCTGGGGCCCCCCTGGTTATTCAGCAGTACCTGCATATTCTCTCTTCCCCCTCCCCCCCAGGATCGCCATGGGGTTCACAACGAGGTGGAGCCGCTGTGCGTGCTGGACTTCTATATCCACGAGTCGCTGCAGAGGCACGGCTACGGCAAGGAGCTGTTCCAGTGCATGCTGCAGGTGAGAGCCAGGGCCCAAGGGAATTGCTCTGTCTGGGAGGGTCCCTCTCACCCCTTTCCCGCCTCCCTGCCACACCGGGTGGGAGGGTTTGGGGATCACCCAGACCAGAAAGGGGTCTGGCACCACCTGCCTTGTAAATTCGGGTGCTGTCGTGTTCTGTGCAATGGCTCAGAGCTCTGATTCCAGGCACAAAGGTCTCACCCTGGCTTCCACCTACCTAGTTACTCCTTGCAGGGTGACCCAAGTCCCCCCCAAACCTGTCTCCCTGAATTCTGAATTACCCCACACTTGGACCTTTCCCCTCTGGTTGCCCCCCTCCCCAAAGGGGTGAAATCTGCCCCCAGTTATCAGTTCCCTTTGTCGCACAGGCTGCACCCTAGAGACCGGCTTGGGGGAGAAATAAAGGAAAAAGTTGATTGAATAGAGAAATCGCAGAGCCAAATGGGAAATAGTGAGGGAAAGCCAACGCAGACGAGCTCCGCGGAAAATAAAGACGCCGTCTCAGGCTTCACGCTTCTCTATTAGCCAAATTCCCTCTCCTAATGCCAGTTACCTGAACGGTTTCCCAGCATGCCCCCTGTCCTAGTGCGCCACAGACAGCGCCCTGCTTAGATGCCAGCCCTGGATAGCCTTCACTTCCTCAAGCCTTCTTCCCTTTGGACAGGCTTTGTGGGGTTTTTCCCCCCTCTCTGACGGTGGGAATTCATGGTTACACAGAGTGCTGGAAACTCCCTCCTCCCCTAGTTTTCCAAGACTGGGATTTTCTTGTCAGTTTCGGTGTCTTTCCATTAACTTCAGTGGTCCCCCGTGATCTTTCCCTGGGCTGGCCAATGCCCGGTGCTCCTCCCTGCCTGATTGCTTCACCCCCCTGTTGGGAGGCGATGCCGTAGTTGCGTCCTGATTACAGTTACAATGTCCTGAACATACACACATGCATACCGTCGTCACCAGAGCCTGTACATAGATCTCCTCATGGCCACCAAGTTCAGGACACTACAAGCTTTCATGAAAGACCATCCTTGACATATATTGAAACACAGTAATATTGTCCACAGCCAATTGATTCAGTCGCTTATTCTGGGGAGTTCAAACCGCCTGTTCTCCCCTTGGGGTGTCTGGATCCTGACTCACGATGGGGGACCCCATTGATTCATCTGGGCCTGTATTCCCGCATCTTTGGGGGACCCCATTGTTCCATCTGAGCCTGGATCCCAGACCACTGGTCGGTCTGGTATCCGGAGTCTGTGACCAGGCCTGAAGCTGCTGGGAAGTGGCCAGTTAGAGGTGGTGGTTATGACTGGGAACTGGGTTGGGGCTCACCAACTGCTTTCACATGTGGGCCAACAGATGGGAACAACTTTAAGCAGCTACTGACCTGGTGCTGGAGTGGAATTGGTGCCTCCTAGAGGGGGAAAGCCCTGTGTCCCATTCCTAGGGACCTACCAAATTCACGGTCCATTTTGGTCAATTTCACGGTCATAGGATTTTAAAAATCGTAAATTTCATGATTTCAGATATTTAAATCTGAAATTTCACGGTGCTGTAATTGTAGGGGTCCTGACCCAAAATGATTGGGGGGTGGGGGGGTCCGGTCACAAGGTTATTGTAGTGGGGGTTGCAGTACTGCTAACCTTACTTCTCCGCTGCTGCTGGCGGCAACACTGCCTTCAGAGCTGGGCAGCCAGAGAGCAGCAGCTGCTGGCCGGGAGCCCAGCTCTGAAGGCAGAGCCACCGCCTGCAGCAGCAGTAAGGACGGCATGGTATGGTATTGCTACCTTTACTTCTGGGTCAGAGCTGGGCCCTCAGTCAGCAACTGCCACTCTCCGGCCACATTCTGCCATTCTCTGGCTGCCCAGTTCTGAAGGCGGCGCTGAAGTAAGGGTGGAAATACTGTGACCCCCCCCTAAAATAACTTTGCAACCCCCCTGCAATTCCCTTTTGGGTCAGGACCTGCGATTTGGGAAACACCAGCCTCCCCCGTGAAATCTGTATAGTACAGGATGCAAAAGACCAGATTTCACGGGGGGAGACCAGATTTCACAGTCCGTGACGTGTTTTTCATGGCCATGAATTTGGTAGGGCCCTACTCATTCCCCACCCTCTGAGCCAGCCAGTCCCTTAGCTGAAGATGTTGCTTGCACCGTGGGTGTGTTTAATCTTGACCGTGTGGCCTTGACTAATCCCCGGCTGCATCTCCTCTCCGTCCGTCTGGCTGTCAGCGCGAGCGAGTGCAGCCCCACCAGCTGGCCGTGGACCGCCCCTCGGAGAAACTCCTCTGCTTCCTCCGCAAGCACTACAACCTGCAGGGGACCATCCCCCAGGTGAGTCGCGCCCTCCGGCTCCTCCCATCATCCTCCGGGGGGGGTGGGGGATGGACACACCCCATTGTGCCCAGGGGATGGCGGGGGGCATGTACTGAGTGATTTATTAGGAGCAGCTGCTTTCTCAGCTGCCAGCCATGCCGGGGAGCTGCAGCGGAGAAGGCTCTTGCCCCATTGGAGGGTCAGATTCTCAGGTCTGATTCTCAGGTCCCCCGCTCCTGGGCTTGGATGTGGCTTCAGGCCACCTTTGTCCTCCTGGAGCAGCAGGGGCCTGAGTATGACTGGGCAGGGCAAGGAGGAGGCTGGTGAAGGGCAGGTGTATGAGGGTATCCGGGGGGGGGGTGCTAGAGGAATGGGGGCGGGGGAGGCTGGCACTGGGGAGAAAGGGGGCAGAGGAGAGAGGAGCGGGGACTGGTGCTGGGGTGCAGTGTGGTTGGCAGGGAGTTAGGGGAGGGGCTGGCGGTGGGGTGGGGTTTGGGCTGGCAGCGGGCAAGGTTGGCGGGGCTGGGGAAGGTGGCTGGCGCTGGGGTGTTGGGGGCTGGCGCCGGGCAGGGGAATGGGGGCAGGAGGCATCAGAGGCAGGAGTTTCTCACTGTCCATGGCCTTCGCTTCTCCCAGGTGAACAACTTTGTGATCTTCGAGGGCTTCTTTGCCGACCAGCATGGTGAGTGGCCTGGCCGTGGGTGGGCCTCCTCCATCAGCATGGAGCGCTTCCCCGCCATGCAGCCCGTACCCTGCACAGACCGGCGCCAGCTGGGGGCTGCTTTGATGGCAGCTGCAAAACCTAGCCTGTCCCCAAGGGGTCAGCGTTGGTCCTGCTACCCCATTGCGTAGGCAGGGCTACCCCAGAGGTCTGGGGTTTAGACCAGGGGCTAAGCCCACAAATCTGGAGGGCAAGTGGCAGCCCCTAGGGGGCAGCAAATCCCCCAATGGGAGCCATAACAGCACCACTCAGTCCTGCTTTCTGCCTGGTGGGTCCTGTCTCTCCACTGCCCTGTGGGGTTTCAGGCCTGAAGCCAATGTGGGAGGTGCTCTTCACCCCCTTCCCGGCCAGCTAGCCTGGGTGACGATCAAAAGGCAAACAAAAATTGCGGTGTGGCCCCTTTAAGGCCAGGTGCATTCTGGGAGTTATAGTCCCCCTGAGGGAGCTAGGGCTAGGCTTGGTGGGAAGGAACAAGACCTCGGCTGTATCCTGCTTCTCACCCGGACAAAGGGCAGAATGGGAAACTGAGGCACAGAGCAGTGAAGTGACTCACCCAGCAGGCCAGGTGGCAGTGCTGGGTATAGAACCCAGGTGTCCTGTGTCCCGGTCCACTGCACTAACCCTTAGGCAACCCTGCCTGTTTGAATCCTGTTAAACTCCAGGCCTCAGCTCTCTACCGTGTCTGTGAGTTCCACAGGCTCATGCTGACTTCATTCATATCACCCGGAGGCAGTGGGATTTAACCCTTTGTGCTGCCTTCGTCTCCTCCTCCCGCTGCTGATCATCCCAGAGCTGCGGTGGAGGGGCGGGGGGCAGCGTTACCGAATGCCTCTGGAACTTAACCTCGCTCTGTTTCCCCCCCTGCTTGGGCCTGTCTCGCCTAGAGAGCTTGAGCATTCTTAGCATGCCTAGATCCTCCCTGCCTGAGGTTCCTGGCCCCCATGCTGCCAGGCCTACCGTCGCCCTGGGCGTGGCGTTTTCTCTAAGCAGCATCAATGCAGTACGGAACGCGTACCGCCCCCTGAGTGTCTCCTCCCCTGCATCTAGCCCTGAGCCCCACACAGACGCCCCCTCTGCTCCTCTGTCCTGTGAAGACCCCTCGAACCTTGGCTGATCTGACCCCATCCTGCCAGCTTCCCTGCCGCCGCTTCAGCACCTCCGTGTGCAGAGCAAGTGGCACATTACAGCTCGTTGCTGTCTACATAGCGCATTCACCTCTGTGCAGAATGATAGGCTGTCACCTAATGCAAGCATTATTGCAACCACAGCTGTAACGCAGCTACATCTGGGGTGGGCTGCGGCAGCTCCTTAACAACCAGGCAGCAAGATTTCACAGAGATCCTCAGCCTAGTACTGAAATGCAGCCACTTCTGGGGTGGGGCAGCTGATTAACAGCCATGCAACAGTGCCACCCAGAGATGGCTTAACCAGCACTGAAATGCCACCACCTCTGGGGTGGGGCAATTGGATAACAGTCGTGCAGTGACACAAGGATCGCTCACCTACCACTGACCTGCCTTGAGGGTGGGACGTAGCAGCTGTTTAATAGTCCTACCAGAGCATAGGGCCAGATGTGATGAATACAGTGACTAGCAGCTGTTTGGGACAGGAAGTGAAGAAGAATTTTTCCTAAAGGTGTAGGGAAGCTAGTGGAAGTGGGACTAGGAGGAGATGAATGAAGAGTGAGTACAGCTTGAATGTGAGTGATCAGCACTTTGAAAGAACACTGCCCCCTATGGGTCAGCACTTACTGAGGGGAGAGTGCCCCCTACTGAGCCCCCACCCTGCTCCCTGCAGCACAGTGCCCCCTACTGCTGCTCTGGGGCATTGGAGTCAGCACAGCACTCCCTACTGAGCCCCCACCCAGCTCCCTGCAGCACAGCGCCCCCTACTGCTGCTCTGGGGCATTGGAGTCAGCACAGCACTCCCTACTGAGCCCCCACCCAGCTCCCTGCAGCACAGTGCCCCCTAGTGCCACACAGGGGCATGGAGGTCGAGACTTCCACTATCCCATCATTCACCCAGTACCATGCTCTGAGTCCTAACCTATAGCAGCATCGGGAGCAGGCTGGCCAATGCAGCAGCAGTCTGTCGCCCCCTTGAGGCAACTCAACCACACCACGCCCTGCCGCCCAAATCCATCCTGTGCCGGGGTTGAAAGCTGTCATTGAAAGGCAGCATGCGGGATCGAGCCCTGCAGTTCGCCCTGCTTTGCGGGGAGGGGACGCGACGTTCCGAGCCGGGGACTTGCACAGACGGATTGAATCAGCGTCTGTATCTAGCCGATTTTATCCCAGTCACGCGATTTCCATTCCCTTGTGTTTTCAAAACCCCACCCCGCTGGAACAAAGAGAGTCCTTTGTCTCCCACCCGCACCAAGTGGGGAGCTCGGGACAGCTGCCATCTCCCACCGGAAACACCCACGGGCTACCATTTCCAGCCCTTCGGTCATGGGCTGCCCGACTCCAGACACCTCTGGCCTGGCTCTCAGAGGTGCTGATCACCCACAATGCCACTCGTAGACAGTGGGAAGTGTGGATCCTCGGGCAACTCAGTTTAGCTGGGCACAGAGAAGGTGAAGGGTTGACTTGATCCTAGGTTGACCAGATGGCAAGCGTGAAAAATCGGGGCACTTTTTTTTTCAGGGGGCGGCGGGTAGAGTTGCCTATTTAAGACAAAGCCCCTAATCTTGGGACATCTGGTCACCGTATTTGATCACTGTCTAGCGGTACCTGCAGGGGGAAGAGAAAACTGATAGTAGGGGGCTCTTCAGTCTAGCACAGGGGTTCTCAAACTTATTTTGCTGGGCCCCCCATTGAAAATATTTCAGGCTGTGCTGACCCCCCTCACTCTTGGTACCAGACATCGCTTGTGCAACATCAGTGCAAATCCCTACAGAGCTTAGTAACTGTACTATGCCCCCCTTACTTCTGCGCTGCTGCTGATGGCGGCGCTGCCTTCAGAGCTGAGTGCCCGGCCAGCGGCAGCCACTTTCTGGCCACCCAGCTCTGAAGCCGGCACTGCCACCGTGTAGCAGCGCAGAAGTCAGGGTGGCATGGTATGGTAATGCCACCCTTATGTCTGCGCTGCTGCTGATGGCAGTGCTGCCTTCATAACTGGGCGGCCGGAGAACAACAGCGGATGGCTGGGCGCCCAGCTTTGAAGACAAGGGAAAAGGACGAGCAAGAGAAAATTACGGACATTTGTTCGTATTTCAAAAATCCACCCAGACGGAGGTCAGAGGACCAAAAAGGAAGTCATATCTGGGAAAACCCAGATGTATGGTAACCCTATAATTTGTGTGATCTCGTGACTGCCCTACAATATCCTTGAGACCCCCTTTTGGGTTGGGACCCCCAGTTTGAGAAACGCTGCTCTAGCAGACAGAGGTCTAACAAGATCCAATGGCTGGAAGATTGAGACAGGTACATTTTTACTAGTGAAGGGCATTAACTGCTGGCCTAGCTGGATTCTCCATCACCGGAAATTTTAAAATCAAAAATGGGTCTTTTTTCCCCCCCGGCCTAAAAGATCTGCTCTGGTTCAACCAGGGATCAATCCAAAGCCGTTCTGTGGCCTGGCTTATCTAGGAGCTCAGATTACAAGTGTCCCTTCTGCCCTTAGACTCTATTAAGTGGACGCTAGGTGGTAGGGGCCCAAACCTGCAAGGTAGGCTACAGTCAGAGGCTGCTCTTGGAAAAGTTGGCCCGAGCGTCTCTGAGAACAGGGAGCGTCTCTGTGTTCTGGGTTTGGACGGCTCCCAGCACAGCGTGGTCCTGAGCGGTGACTGAGTGCTAGGGGAATGCAGATATAATAGCGACGGATGTTCCTTCTGCTCAGCCAATTCGGCTCGAATTGGATCCCTCCTGGCAGAAATGCTAAGGCCCCTTGAGGCCGCATCCCATTCAGGGGTGCGTGGGTGCCCTACACGCTGCTTTGTAGGGCAGCCCCTTTCTTCCATGGTGGGGCAGCTGGGTAACAGCCGCACATTAGCACCGCACAGGGATTGCTCGTCAGATGCTGAGATGCAACCGCCTCTGGGGTGGGGCAGGGAGGGAACAGCTGCACAGTGATGCTGCACCGGGATCGCTCATCCAGGGATGAAATGCAGCCACCTCTGGGCTGGGGTCGTTGGAGAACAGACGCACAGTGACACGGCACAGGGATCAGTGAGCTAGTGCTGAGATGCAGCCACCTCGGGTGGGGCGCAGCATCCATTTAACGGCGAACAGCAACAGTGCACGTTTTGGAAAGGAAAGGAAACCCTCAGGGTGTGGTGCTTAGAGAGGCAGTACAATGCAATCAGCCATGGTGAGATTTGGCCAGGACCCCGGGGTGCGTTTGTTGTGGTAGCGCTTACTAGCCCAGGCACAGCCCAGGACTCCATTGTGCTTGGCGCTGCACTGACCCAACCAAAGCGATGGGCCCTGCCCCAAAGAGCTGGCAATCAAAGTTAGGCCAGGAGTGATCACGGCCTGGTTTGGAGTACTCCGCGGGAAAGCCAAGGCTGCCAGCGGAGGCCTCGGCTGGCTCTTGAGCCGTCTGGTGAGCCCAGAATGGGTTTGAAACCTCCAGCTCTGGGACGTGGGAGTTACCTCTTCTGGCCTCCGCCTTTCTGGACTGACCTTTCTCACCCTCTCCTTGCAGCTCCGGTGAGGAAGTTGCCTTCAAAACGTGCTGAGGAGGAGATAAAACCCTACTCTCTAACAGACCGAGAGTGTAAGAGACCCGATGCGCCAGCCCAGGGTGGGGGGCAGGGAATGGGACATGGGGCCTTTCCCCTCTAGGGGGCGCTGGCTCTGATCCAGCCTGTGGATGGGGGACTGGCTGGCTAAAGGGGGTGGGAAATGAGATACAGGGCCATTCCTCTCTTAGGGGGTGCCCACTCTGATCCAGCCCCGGGGGGAGGGGCGGAGCAGTCTGGTTGGCTCAAGGGGTGGGGAATGGGATAGGGGGCGCTGGCTGTGATCCAGCTTGTGGATGGGGGACTGGCTGGCTCAGGAGTATCCCCACCTAGGATGTGCCCCTCTGTTCCCAAACAATCCCAGGAGGTTTGGTGTGGCGCCCCTAGTGGCTGAGAAGAGGCAGCACGTGGCTGTAATGAACATCAAAGGGGGGTTTGAGGCTGCTGGACCCTGTGGGCCCCTAGCCTGACTAACCCAGCCTGCACTGCCTAGTGTCACCACACAGGGGCGCCTGGACTCAGCAGGGCCGTGACAGGGGGCCCCCCGAAATGAGGCTGCTGGTACGTCTGGTTTTCAGTATGTCCCTCCCTTCCCCCGTTTGCTTTGACTGGAATGGCGGGGGCCTAGAATGATTCCCCTTTCCCTTCTGCCCCCAGCCCAGCTCCTGCACTCTCCCCTCCCCTTCTGCTTCCCCCTTTGCCTCCGTCACCCAGCGCATACCCCGGAGGGTTCTTTACTGCCATGCACAATGATCCCACTTCACCCACCAATCAGCCATCAACCACACTGCCCTCTCCAGGAGCCGCTCTCACAGCTGTTGGGGGGGAGCCCACCTTCCCCCCTGATGGGGGAGGGCAGATCCCTGCCCCCCACTTTGCAGAGAGGACAGACTAGACACCCCCCTCCCCACTGCTAGCTGGAGGGGTTCATCCCATGGCTACCACCACACGGCAGGGGCAGATGGACTGGACTGTCTGTGTTACGTTCTATCGATCTTATCTGGCCTCCATCACCATAGGATCTGAGCACCTCACAGTAGCCCTGGGAAGCAGGGCCCTGCTATTATCTGCCTTCTGCAAATGGGGAAACTGAGGCACACAGGGAGGCTAAGTGACTTTCCCAAGGTCATTCAGGGAGCCTGGGGCAGAGCCGGGAATAGATCCTGGGTCTGCCGAGGCCCAGACAAGCACCCTCACCACTGGGCCATCTCTAGACAAGAGGGGCTGAGAGCTGGAGAACAACCTGGGCCCCTCTTTCTTAACATGCCCTTATGTCACATGTCCTGGGCCTCTCTAGCAACAGGAGGCCCCAGAACTCTATGACTCTGCAAGGTTCACCCCCTCCCACTTCGTTAATCCAGGATCCCGAGGGCCCCCAGGCTGTATCTGGGTTAGGAAGAGGGGTGGGGGGGTATGAAGCAGGGCCAGAGGGTCTGATCCTGGGCATCTCCCTTCAGTCCTGAAGGAGGAGGTGGAGCCACCCTGGCCCTTCAACCAGTCGCATTCGCTGAACCGCTCCAGCAGCCTGGGGAACTCGCCGGTTCGCACCTGCCTCAAGCCCTTCCTCAACGAGCAGGAGCTGCTGCGGAACCTGCGCCTCTGCCCCCCACACGCGGCTGCCCACCACCTGCTCAACGGCGAGCAGGGCGAGCCGGCCGCCCAGAGGCGGAGAACCAGGTACGGGGCGGGGGATGTTGCTGCTCTAACCCTGATGGACCCAGCTGGCCTTGTACCTAGGAGCGTGGGCCCTTTTATGGAGGGCATCCTGCTGGGCAGCGCCTGGTCACAGGGATCTAGGCCGCTGGGCAGTGTTGGGTCGTTCAGATCTGGGTGGCGTCTGGTCGCAGAGAGAGGGGCGGCATCCAATTATGGGTGGCTTCCATTAGCGGGGCTCTTGGCTGCTTGTCAGCGCCTGCTCTCGGGGATTTGGGATCTGAGCTGCCAGGTGGTGCCCGGTTCTGGAGATCTGGGTCGCTGGGCTTTTGGACGGCATCCAATCCCATGAGATCTTGAGAATCTAGAACTCTGATCCTACAGATCTTGGATCTGGGCTGCTGGTTGACATCTTGTCCTGGCAATTTGGGGGATGTGGGTGCAGGGTGGCATCTTCTGACTCAGCCAAGAACCATAGGGGAGGGGCAGTAAGGGGGACAGTGACCCTCCTCCTCATTCTCCCGGCCCTGTGTTTTGAACTGCGCTAACCCACAGCTGCTCAGCTCTGTCCCCTCCCCCAGTTACCCGGAGGGGGCAGCTGCAGACTGGATGTGGGGCCTCCCTGCTCTGGGCCAGACTCAGTGGGGCTGTGAATGTGGGGGAGTCGCTCAGCACCAGGGAGGTGGAGGCAGCAGTCGCGTCATTTGGCGAGTCCTGGCTGGACCACCCGCTTTGCACGCTTATCCTGATCCTGCACGTCTTGCACACCCACCCCAAGTGCTGTCTTGGGAGTTGGCCTTATTTTGCACACACTGCCAGCCCTTGGTTTGCATGCCCATGTCAAACTTATCCCCTTCTCTGGGCTGTACACGCTCCCGCTGAGGCCCGGATCCCCACCCACTAGCATTGCGTGTTCGCTCTGATACCAAGTCAGTGCAGATTGCCCTCGATTTACACTGGCCAGGTGTCGAACTGGTGCTGTTTCCCCTGCTTTCGCACGTCTGCATCGAGTGCTAGATTGGTGCCAGCTGCACTGGCTTTCCCATTCACGGCGACTCCCACATCAGTGCAAGGTGCACTAGTTTTGCATGTTCCCACTGAGTCCTGGGTGGGTCTCTGTCACACTAGTTTTGTATGAGTGCTGGATCGGTGCAAGGAGACCTTCTTTTGCATGTTCACGCCGAGTGCTGCGTCAGCACAAGTTACACTCGTGTTGCACGCTGTGGTGTGGGATCTGTGCAAGCCACACTGATTTTGCATGCCAGATTGGATCCGTGTCAGCTGCGCTGATTTTGCACACTCATGTTGCACACCACCATGTTGCATCCATGCCAAGTGCTCTGATTTTGCTTGCTCACCCTTTGCAGCTCAGATGTTGGATTTGTGTGAGCTGCATTGTTTTTACACGCTCACTGTTTGTACACACACATGTTGGATCTCTGCATACCTCACTGATTTTGCATGCTCACCTGTTGCACATTCAGATGCTGGATGTGTGCGAGATGCATTGATTTTGCACACGCAGATGTTGGATCTGTGCAAACCAAGTAGTTTTGCACACTCACCCTTTGCACACCAGCATGTTGGACCAGTGTGAGCCACACCGCTTTTCCACATTTGTGCTTTGCACGCCAGGTTGGATCTGCATCAGCTATGCTGCTTTTGCATGCTTGTGTTGCACATAATAGTGTTGGGTCCATGTGAACTACTCTGATTTTGCACACTCGCACTTTGCCTGCTCAGCGTGTTGGATCCATGTGGACTGCACTGATTTTGCGGGTTCACCCTTTGCATGGCCGGGGCCAGCTCAGTGCAACCCCCACTGGTTTTGTACGCTCACGGTTTGCACCCACGGCTGGATCCATGCAAGCTGCACTAACTTTTGCACACTCAGGCGTTGCATGCCCAGGTCTGGATCAGCACAAGCCGTGCTCTGAGCTGCTCTCACTTGACATCACTGCCAGCCAGTTTCAGCTCTGGGCTAGTCACCCAGCTTTGCCGCTTGCCCCCTGCTTTCCAGCCGGTTGGGGGGGTTATTCCCACTTTTTCCAGCGCGGTTGAATTTGGCCCAGCAGAACCAACGCCTGGCGCCTCTAGTCATTCCCACTGCACCTCCAGAACCGCACAGTAGCTCAGCTCATCTGGCGACGCAGGCGGGATAAGAACCGGAAGTCACTAGCCATCTCTTTTTGGGTGGGGGGGAAGGGATCTTCCTTAGGTCACATTTTCCCCAGCCTGCCTGGGATCTAACCTGTCTTCTCTCTGTCTTTCTCTCTGCCCCATCCTCCCCATCCCAGCTCCCTCACCCGCTCGGAAAACACCAGCCATTGACGTCGCCGCTGTGTCCCCCACCCCCGTCCCGGCTTGGTCGTCCATTTGTGTCTTGAGATCTCGGCAAGGGGGGGGTTCAGCCCTCTTGCGCCTCCCCAGCCCTTTTTTATACGCTTGGGGGGGCTGGCGCAGACGCCGGGTTATTTCCGGGGCTCAGTGGGTGTTTTTCCTGGGCTGCTTGTTTTTCTATGGAATGATCCTAAAACACCCTCCGAAGAGGGATCCGGTCCCGTTAGCACAGTAGCTCTCCCCCGCCCCCTTTTTTTTAAATATGCATATGTTGTACTTTGGATCCAAAACTCTCAGAGGTTTACAGTGGGAAATCTGGTTCTGATCGTTCCTCCCGTGCCGGATCTCAAAATGGGATCTGCTGCTTGGTGCCAGATCAGATCCTCCCCCTTGTGTTTGTCTGTAGGTGGATTTAAAGCGAAGGATCCACTGAAAATTGGCAACCGCAGACTCAGAAATAGGACCCCCTTGTTTGTCTTGGGATCTAAGTGGGATCCACTCTAGCTTGCCAGGGGACTCAAACTAGGTCTCCTCAATCCACTCTAGAACCAGGTCCCCTTGCAGATCACCAATGGCTTACTTAAGGATAGAATCCATGTGTGTTCCTTAGTGGGTGGATCTAAAAGCGATCCACTAATTTGCTGACTTGAGAAAGGGATCCCTTTATTTTTCTGAGTGACTGGATCTAAAAGGGATCACCAAATGCTAACCTCATAATCAGAAATAGGTTCCCCTTACGTTTTTCGGTGGATCTAAGTGAGATCCAATGTGGGTGGAGTCTAGAGCAAGGTGCCCCTTGTGGCTCATGCTTGCTGAATTTAAAGGATCTACTGCTGATCACCAATTACTGGTTATGTTTCTTAACTGGTGGATCTAAAAGGGATCTGCTGCAGGTCCCACCTTAGCAACACCCAAGACCAACAGGCTCCTGCGTCCTCCAAAGGCGATCCGCTACATGTTGCCAATTGCTAAATCCAACAAATAGAGCCCGCCCCCAGCTTCCTGGTTGGCTGGGTTGCCATATGGCTCCATTACAAATGCCTCCTAAAAAAGTTGTCTACAAATTGCCAATGGCTAGAGCCTCAAGAGGGATCCACTGTCTACTGCCAGATCCCTTCGAGGGGTCCCTTCAGCTGACAGATCCATGGTAGGGATCTATGGAGGACGTGGCCAGTAGCCAGATGCCCCCAAAGGGAACCACTGTTAATGACTTCTCAGTTGCTTTTGCCCCAGTTCCCCTGAAGGCATCACAGCTATTCGTAGGCAGAAGAGTCTAGTGGATTAGAGTAGGGGGGCTTGAGAGCCAGGACTCCTCGGTTCTATCCTCAGTTCTGGGAGCGGAGGGGCCTAGTGGGTTAAAGCAGGAAGGCTGGGAGTAGAGATCCCTGAGTCTCTTCACAGACTTACAATGTGAAACTGGGCAAGTCCTTTCCCCTCTCTGTGCCTCAGTTTCCCCATCTGTAAATGAGGATAAAATTAGGGCCCCATCTCCCACGGATGTCATGAGGCTTAATGAAAGTGTTAATTAGTTAATAATTATTAACACTGGAAAACTTTGGTTCTAAATCCTCCCCGACCCGAATCTGGTGCACTTATTTTTAAATTATATTAGAACCTGGAGGAGGACCAGCTGAGATCAGGGCCCCATTGTGCCGGGCGCTGCACAGACACACAGCGAGAGACAGTCCCTGCCCCAGCTGAGATCAGGGCCCCGTTGTGCCCTGCCTCAAAGAACTGACAGTCAGACCAGGCAGATAAAGGAAGGATTGTTCTCCCCATTTTACAGATGGGGAACCTGAGGCCAGAGAAATTCATGCCTAGATCCTCAACGGTATGTAGATACCTGTGATGAAGTGGGAATGTTCTATAGTAGTTATATAAGACATATACGTGCCTCAGTTTCCCCGTACTCGGTGCTCCCCATCAATACCGTGACAGCGGCAGCCTTTTTCAAACAGGGTAACCATTTGGTTAGTCACCCAGCACATGGCAGCTGGAGGTTCTTAGGTCAGCGTGGAGGAAAGAAGTTCAAGCACAGTGAACTCCATGGTCAGGCTCTGTCTCTCTCAAGCCGACCTCCTTCCTCCGCTCCCAGCTTCCTCCGGAAGCCAGTACTCCTCCCCCACCTCTCGCTCGTTTGTTCTGGGCTTTTTGCTCAGCTTCCTGGCAGAGAGGCGGGGAAATCCATGAAGCCCTGGAGCTCAGTCCTCCCTCACTGGCCCCCTTGTTAATCTGGGTCAGTTTCCACCAGTTCCTTAAGGGCTCTTGGTTCCACCCAGGCAGGGAGGGGACCCCCACCTATGTCTCTTAGCCTACTCTGAGAGCAAACTTAAATCTGTTCCTCCACTGGGTACCAGTGCCACATGCAGGGGAAACTGAGGCACACACAGGCCTCCATACAAATACTACAGAAAGTCCCCACTCCTTCACAATGCCCATTGAACTCACTAGCTGTTACGCGCTTAGATGCCTGGGAGGAGCTGCACCTCCAGGACTTGCCAAAGGTCACACCCGCACATTGGCAGAGCTAGGAACTGAGCCCAGAGCTCCTGGTTCCCAGCCCAGGGCCTTGTCCACCAGCCTTCCAGCGCATCGCTAGCTCACTGGGTTGACGGTGTCTCTCTGATCTCTGGCCCCGTTTGTCCCCTCCCAGCCACCCAGGGCTCTGAGCTGCCTTCGGTCGTTAACATTCAACGCGGGAACATGAGCTTTTGTTTACATTTCAATAAAGTTTGGAGATTTTTTTATTATTCAAAACCTTCCACGGACGCCTTTTTGTCGTTTATTGTTGCACCACAGGGGCCGATGGCAGCTGCACTGCTCTGCCCGTCTCGGCTCTGGAACCATCTTTTGGGGCTGTGCTGTCAGGAGGGGAGTGGGGTCTAGTGGTTAGAGTGGGGGGGGCTGGCAGGGTTCTATCCCTGGCTCTGGGGGGGAAGTGAGGTCTAATGGGTTAGAGCAAGGGGGCTCGGAGTCAGGACTCCTGGGTTCTAGCCCCGGCTCTGGGAGGGGAGTGGGGTCTAGTGGTTAGAGCAGGGGGGCTGAGAGCTGAGACTCCTGGGTTCTATCCCTGGCTCTGGGAGGGGAGTGGGATCAGTGGATTGACTCTCGTCGATCCCTGCAGGTATGCAGCACATTGCTAGGGGTGGGGGCGGGTCTGTCTGGGGGTACAGAACCACTAGTGGTTGCCTAGCCAGCCCCGTTCACCAGCTGCTGGGTGCCCTGAATAATAAGCTAAATGCAGCAGTTTGATTGAACCCCTCCTGGAGGACTGCACAGGACCAGCCAAGGGCCCTTGGTGCTGCCCAGGTCTGGAGTATAATCCAGGATGGCTTTGCCAGGCGCTGCCTTCGCTGCTTTGTGTCAGCTGGGATCCTCTCAGGCCAGTAGACTGATCCCTAACATGGCTACCATCTTCCACCTCCAAGGATCCCAGAGTGATTTCCACCTTTGCTGAAATGCAGCCACCTCTGGGGTGGGGCAGCTGGGAAACAGCTGCACAGGGATTCTGCGCAGCCACTTAGGACAGGAAGTGAAGTGGGTCAGTGGATCTTGTAGGGGGAAAGGCAGGGAGGTGAAATGCAGGTGTCGGAGTTGGGATTCGGACAGGGCCCTGTGCAAAGCAGGACTTTCAAGATCACGAGGGTTGTCAGGAACAAGGGCATCAGCACTGAGTACCAAGGAGGAGCGCCCCAGGCTGAGCTGCCACCCCGTTCCCTTCAGCACGGTGCGGGCCATGGGGTCAGTACCGCCTGGGAGGGGAGAGCGCCCCCTGCTGAGCCCCCCACCTTAATTCCATTCCATCACATTGTCTGTGCTCCCATCCCATGAGACTCCATGCCATGTCTGTCCTCCCCCCCTCCCAGCCTGGCATCTCCCTGTCCCTCACCTTCCACCTCCTCCTCATCACCCCCCCTCCGTCTCCTCCCCTCTCTCCTCCAGGAGGAGCGTTGTGGGGCAGGACGGCCTGGTGGCTCAGCGGAGTTCCTACAGCCGCTACGGGAACCCTGCCCCGTTGCCTGAGGGGGTGGCCGGCGGCGCTGAGAGGAGAGCGGGTGAGTGGGGCAGGTGCAGGATGCCACCCTGAACCGGGACGGGGTTTCCACCTCTTACTGTGGGCGGGGGGGGGTGTCCGAACTGGGATCGACCCTTGGCATCCTGGCAGGTGGGCATCTCGCTGCTCTGAGCCACCCACCTCGAAGCCCAGCACACAGGCTGCAGCTGCCCCCGGAGCCTGGTAGTTCAGGGGGTCCTGTCCCAGCCCCCTGGAGCCTGCCGGAGTGCTGCCAAATCTTCACTGGTCTCTTACTGAGCCCACACCCTGCTGCACTGAGCATTGGGGTCAGCACTGACTGCCAGGTGTACTGAGCCCCCCACGTCCTCCCTGCTCCCTGCAGCACAGCGCCCCCTAGGGGCACACTGGGACATTGGGGCCAGCACAGCTACTGACCCCACTCCCTGCAGTCCCGAGGCGGCTAGGGTAGGAGGTGGGGGGATTGGGAGCGACTATCAGGGAAGTTACAAGAATTGCTGCTCACTCCCCATTTTCCTCGTTGACCCAGAGAGCAGCCGAGAGCCACTAAGGAGACTCCAGGACTCAGAAGGCCGGTAAGATTCCTGCTTCCGCTGCCCGCCTCTGGGACCCCTCCAGGACACCCCCAACTCCACAACCTGCTCTCCCCATGCTATCCCCCTGCTTCTGGGACCCCTCCATGACCCGCCTCCAACCCGCGTTCCCCACACCGCCTCCCTCCCCTCTGCTAGGATCCCTCCCTGTGTTCCCCATGCCACCAGCATTCCCAACTTCTGGGACTCCTCCGTGATCCCTCCTCCTCTGACTTTTGTTCCTTACACGGCCCGCCTCCCTCGTTGCTGGGAGCCCTCCCCTCCCCCTGATCCACCGCCCTTGGCCTGTGCTTCCCACGTCACCCCCACACACACACACTCTCTAGCAGTACTCGAGGGGACACTGACTGGTGCCTCCCTCTCTCTCTGTCAGGTTGGACAGCACAATAATCACCAGCCAGGACCCATCACATCCAGCCCTCCTACCCCAGCCAGGTGGGACGGTCCGTCACTCTGAGGGCACCTCCCCTCCCACCGAGCCGGCCCTGACGGACAGGACTAAAGACCCAGGCATCCGGAAGGCCTCGGAGTCAAAGCCCTCGGGCCAAGGAGATCCTGTGGACTGCCTCCCTCCACGGCTCGACAGCAGGTGGTACGACCGAGCCAGAGTGCCATGGGGGAAGCAGCTGTCTTGGACAGTAGCGGGAGTGTCACGGGACGCCCAATGGATCCGCTACAAGCAGGAATATCGCAACACCAGGCCCTGGTGAGCAGGGGGGCAGCTAGCACTAAGCCAGCAGAGCCCCAGGCCGACAGGCCCATCTAGTCGGGTATCCTGGCTCCTCTCTATTGCACCAGACAGACCAATGGGCCCATCTAGCCTGGTATCCTGCCTCCTCCCTGCCGGGACCAATGGGCCCATGTTGCTTGGTATCCCAATATAAGCTTGATTGTCTACTGGCTGGAAGGATTCCCCTGAAATTCCACCTGGTCCATCCCAGCCCCTGGTGGCTTTGGTCTGGAAAGTTTGGGAGGGGCTGTCACATGAGGTTTTGGGGAGAGAAAAGGAGGCCCCAAGACCAGGCACCAGTGTCCTCCCCCCGCGGTGTTTTCACTCTCGTTAGCACTGGGGGTAGTTGGCAGGGAGAGAGGAGCCAGGGAGGGGTCACTGCACGGAGGGCGCAGAGCTGGAGACATCAGGGAGCTGGGCAGTGGGATACGTTCTCTCTAAACCCGTGTTTGGATGGGAAATTGGGTTTTCGATGAGATGGAATTGTTCCGTGAAAAGCAACTGCTCCTTGTGGGGAATTTCCATTCCCTCCCCCACACCTCAAAAAAACGAAAATATTTCAATTCTGCAAGGCCGCCGCAGAGCCTCATGGGAGTTGTAGTTCAGTTTACTCCTGTCCCCATGGTTGACTATGGGCCAGGCTCCCTGGCTGGACTATGTCTCCCATGATGCATCTGCCTCTCCTCACCAAGAGACTGTGGTGAATCATGGGAGATGTAGTCCCTCTAGGAAGCCCAGCCTAGGGAAGAATTTGGGGGCATGAGACACCTGAACTACGATTCCCATTATGCAGCATGACCAGGGGCTCCCATGATGCAACCGCCTCCCCTCTCAAAGAGCTCACAGTTAAGTCTGCATGTCTGTCACGGTCACGGAGGTCACAGATTCCATTACTTTTGCAGCAGCCGGTGCAGCTGACTCAGGGGCTGCCCGAACCTTTTGGGTGTGGGAGGGGGTCTCATGTCCCTGTGTCTCCTAGGTGGAGGGGCCAGGGGGCTCTGTGCGCTGCCCTTGCTTGCAGGCACCACCTCCGCAGCTCCCACTGGCTGCGGTTCCTGGCCAATGGGAGCTGCAGAGCCAGATCTCGTGGCGGGGGCAGTGCACGGAGCCCCCCTAGCCTTCCCTCCCTCTAGGAGATGCAGGGACATGCCGGCTGCTTCCGGGGAGCTGCACGGAGCCGGGTAGGGAGCCTGCCAGTCCCTCCAACCCCACCCAGCACCAGCGGGGGTCCCAGGCCGTGCACTGCCACCCCCAGCACCTGTGGGGGTCCCAGGCCATCCCTCCAGCACCTCCGGCCGCCCTGGCCCCC